GAGTGTGGGAGGGGAAGAGTGTAGGAAATTTGGGGGGGAAATGGAGAGGTAAGACACTTGTGGGACATAGATAAGGTTTATTATCTATTGACGAGGCTGTGTGTGGTGGTCTCAACTGGGCTGGGCTGAGGTGTATATCATGCTGGGTGAAGTCTCTTCACAATCTAAATGATGTATAGCAATTTAATGTATGAATAATAATAATAAAATATATAAATAAAAATGCAATTAAAGTATGAGTTTATTTTGGTGCAAATAATTCTGAAGCCAGCGTGTCTTTTTTTCCCCCTATAGTACATATTTTTTAAAGAACTTAATGGAGATCTGTCATATTCAAACAAATTACACACATTCGAACATTACACTCACAGTTTGGGCTGTTATGACAAGGTACAATTGGACTGGTGCTTAAAAAACAGATGCTTATTTCTCACAGTTCTGAAGGCTGAGAAGTATGAGATGAGGGTGCAGGCCCTCTTCCTGGCTTGTAGGTGGCTGTCTTCTCACCGTCTGTATCCTGACATGGTGCAGAAAGAGAGCAAGCTCTAATCTCTTTCTCTTCTTATGAGGCCACCAATCCCATCAGGGGGGCTCTACCCTCAGACCCTCATCTAAACCGAGTTGCTTTCCAAAGGCTCCACCTACTAATATCATCATCACATTGGGGTTAGGGTTTCAACCTGGAAGGTTCTTTGGGGGGGGGAACAAAAATTCAGTCCATAACAATATCTCACACACACATACACACACACACACACACACACACACACACACACACACTCTTATATCTTTATTTTTATATCTTTACCTATTGAAAACTAAATTCACACCAATCTCTCTAATCCCAATGGGCTTTTAAAATATATTTATTTGTTCCATGAGACGGAGCAGGAAAGGGAGAGAGAGAGAGGAGAGAGGAGAGAGGAGAGAGGAGAGAGGAGAGAGGGGAGAGAGAGAGAGAGAGAGAGAGAGAGAGAGAGAGAGAGAGAGAGAGAGAGAGAGAAACACACGCAATAGGGTCTCACATCATGACTTTCCCCAGCCTTCCCAGCCAGCTAGGATCACGGCACATATGTATGTGTGTGTGTGTGTGTGTACAGGTGTACAGGCTGATCCAGGAGCTGACCTCGATCTTCCTTATGGCTTCTAGCACTGCAGTGTGGCATGCTACCTCTGCACCACTGTACTGGGTCCCTTCTGAATTTATTCTTGTTTATTTCCTACTCCAATCTCCAATAGGAAAAAACTTGCCTCCCACTATCCTTAGAACACTGTTTCTCTGCATGTAAGCCATCTCCACCATTGCAGGGTCCTGATGCCTGTTCCTTTCGAGTCACCCTTCTCACCCTGCCTGGCACATACTTGTGCTAAAAATTGTTCAGTTTATCTTAACTAGGCATTATACATTTTCATTTGCTAAATCCCCAACCTCAGTGCTCCTGGCCAGGTCAGTTGAGGCTTTCAGGCTGCTGCACTGTAGCCCACATGCTCCTCCATGCCCAGCCTGGCCTGCAAACCTTCCTGGGAGCAGGTGCTAATGTCCAGAAAGCTCCCTATTACTGTTCCTGTTGCTTATCTCCATGTCATTCTAACTCCGGGGAACCAACCTTAAAACCCTGAGCCTTTGCTTTCTTCTTTCCCGGACTTAAGATCCCAGGAGTTCTGATGTCCATCTGTGAAGTCCAATTCCCAGAGCAGCTTCCTTCCTTGCCACAGAGCCTAGGTTTGTTTTAGGACCTTATCTACAGGGAATGGATGCTGGGAGGGCAGCCCGGCCGGCTCCCATGCCCACCAGAGGGCAGCCTTTACCCGCGTGTGAGCAGCAGCGGAAGCCCAGGGAGAAGCGGTGGGCGCTCGGAGCGTTAGCCTTGAGAACACACCGAGCTGTGTACGTGAGCCAGGGCACGCGCGGGCTGTGCAGGTCAGAGCCCGAGTGTGCGTGACCTTGCGTGTGTGCACGCATGCGCATGCTCACGTGTGTACTCAGGTGCCTGGCCCTGGGCAAAGTGCTTCTGTCATCTGGACCTCAGTTTTCTCATCTGTGGGATGAAGGGAAGAAGGGTTCTTTCCATCTTCGACCGCTGTGTTCCTTTGGGAGACTGGCAGCTCAGCAGCATGGGGTTCTCTGTTTAGAAACCTCTCTGCTTATGTGTTAAGGATTTCAAGTCATTGATGTGAGGTGGTTGGCAGGGTGAGGAGGAGAAGAAGTGGGACAGAGAGATTTTTGTCTTTTGCTCTCCAAATGTTTGCTTTGAATGATTTATAAGCATTTCCGCTTTCATTAAAGGAAAAAAAAATTCCAGGGGTGCGTGTGCTTGCAGGAGAGACAGACACAGGGAGAGAGGGAGTGGGAGAAAGCACCCTAGATGGAGCAGTCCCTTCTCCCCCATTTCTCCCTCTTTTGGGGATTTTGGTCACACTACGCATGTGCCTGGCTGTCTTTCAAGCTGGGGATCCAGGACTTGAACCACACTGTAGGCCATGTGGGATCCAGCTGCCTGAACCACAAGCCCACAGGCTGGAGCACATTTTCATTTATATAAAAGTTTAATTTAAAAATAATGTGAATCTTTAAGTTCCAAGTAAAGCCACGTGGGTGCTTGGGTAGTGCTTCTCCATGCATTTGCAAGAATCTGGGCACAGAACTAATTCTCAGAATCGTTGGCTCTTCCCAACCAACTATCCCTCATGCAGAAGCAGAAAATTGAGGTGGGCAAGAGCTCAGGCATTTGAGTCCACCTTTTTTTACACAATTATTTTAATTTATTTTATACATTCAATCACCAGATATCACTGCAGCTTGTAAAATGAATTTACACACCATGAACACACTCCTCACCAGTCCAGTTTAAGATACCATACATGTTATCATCAACAGACAATCCTCCATTTCTGTGTCCCTCAAATGTCTGGCCTCTATTTTTCTCCTTGATTCCTTTCCTCTCACTCTCCCCCATCTCCCACCCTCTTCCCACACTGTCTCTGGTATCTGTAACCAACTGTCTGCATTCTGCGAGTCCACCTTCTTGACCCTCACAGTCACTGAAGGGCCGTGCCCTGGCATCTCAGCTGTAACACCGGAATTACAATGGAAGTTTTAGAATGACCATTCTTCCTGTAGTTCCATTCTTCCTGTAGTTATTACATATTAGAAGAGGGTTCTCATCTCCGCTCTGTTATAGTCTGGCCCTGGGACCTTGGCCCTTCTCCCCTTGGGAATTTGTTTCCTCAAGAACAACAGGGAACCAGCACCCCTTTTGTGTGGTGGTTGTGATGGACAGGTAGAGTGCTTATGAAACAGACCAGGTAGCTCGCAGGTGCTAATACAATCCATTTGCCTTTCTTGATCATAGCGGTTTCCTAACCAATGCTTACTTCTCCTTGTCGCCCTGGCCTCGGTGAGATGAGATGACAGTGATAAATCAGTGGTCCCACCTGGCAGAGGCCTCTCCAGGACAACTGCCCTCAGGGGAAAGCGAGTGTAGGTGTTCAGGAAGCCTCGGGGGAGATTATTTGCCTTCTGGAGAGCTTTTGGTATCCCTGAAATAGCACCATGGGGCTTGCTGTTTCCTCTGCCCTGGGATTAAGGAGCAGGGGTGGAGGGCGTGGAGATGCCTTTTCACGTCTACTCCGAAGTCATCTTTTAGGAGGTGGGCCATGCCATCCACCTTGTGAGATAGGACGATTTGTTTTCTGTTCTCTAATTTTGCCTCTGTTGCCCCCAGCTCTCATGGTAACTGCCTGCTCCCCTGGGAGTCCTGCTTTGGGAGGCTGATAGTGCAGGAACTGCTTTCTTTTCTGAGTCTTTTTTTTTTTTTTTTTTTTTCTTTATGGAAGGCTGAGCTACTTGGAAGGTGAGTGCCTTTGCAGGAAGAGTCCTGGCAGTGTCCTCCTCCATGGAAGCGTCCCAATGGACTATGCCTGTGATGTGGCTAGGACCTGCTTTCCCTGGCACTGGTTGGCACAGAGGCAGCAGAGCCACTGGTCTCCTGGAGACCATCTGGTCTTGGAGTGGCGGTCTCAGCAGAAACCAAGGGGAGACTAGTGGCCAATGACCAGGCACACTCCCCTTTCTAGGACACTGGTGAGAGGATGGGGAGTCCTGTCCACGACTGAGGCTGAACGTCCTGACTCCACAGGGGACTGGGACTCAGAGACAGACTGACCTTGACTGAAAGACATTGTTTAGAATGGCATTTCTTGCACACCTAAACACTGGAGTTTATAGTTGCTATTTATGAGTTTCAAGGCACCTACAAAGAGCGTTGAATTCAGCAAACACTCACTAGGCACTTCTCCTTACCCTACTGGTCTACCTGTTACATTCTTCCTGTTGTTCAAGGCCTAAAGCAACTTAGCTTTGACTCAGAGACTCCAGGGCCAGGTCTTCCTGACTGTAAGTATCTTGTGATGGGCACCCCCAGCAGTTCAGCCTCACAGACATTGCTTGGCCTGGTGAAGGTTTGCTGGAATGAATGATGATGGCAGGAAGAGCCACCATATCTCAAGAGCTTACTTCCTTCTGGGCATGGTTCAAGTCCTTTCCATCCGTGATCTCATTGATTCCTACAACAACCCTGCATGATTGGTTCTGTCCATTTTGTAGAGAAGAAAACAGAGGCTCAGAGAGGTAGCAGAGCAAATATACCAACCCAAGAACTACAACAGGAATGGCAAATCTATAACTTACCTTCCCATTGTAATAACCCAGGTAATCAGACTTCAGATCACTTGAAGCATTTACAGCAAGTGACTGACAGATTCACTAAATAAATAAGTGCAGAAATAATAAAATAGTCAAATCAGAGAATGGCCAGGCAGGATGGATCTATTTCCTGCCTGTGTCATCTTTCTCTGGTGTTTCTTTCCCTCCCTGCACCTGATAGGCCCCACCCAGACATGCTGATTTCCAGCCTGTGGGGTGCAGGGGAGAGTGAGGGTCCCCTGACTGCCTCTGCCGAACCCTCTGGGGGCTCTTGGTCCTGACTTTGAGCTGGGAGGCAGGAAGTTTATATATATATATATA